AGGAAAGCACTATCATTTATATGATTCATAGTTCATATAATATGCTTTTTTTGGTTTTGAATGAGAAACATTAATAAAAGATACAGAATTTTTTGTAGAAAAGAAACAAAATATAAATAATAAGGGTATTCTAACTGAAGAAGGAAGAAGCCCCAGAGACCCAGGGAAGCAAAGTAGGAAAGTCCAGAGAGACCAGAGGGCAAGCAGCAAGTCAAGGGTAGGAGGAAGTTCCAATCAAAAAAGAATCAAGACATGGAATGGAAGATATTAAGTATTGAACCAGCTATCCCACTCCTCGGTTTATATCCAGGACTTAAAGAACTTAAAATCAGCATACTACAGAGACTCAGCCACATCAATGTTTATAGCAGCTCAATTCACAATAGCTAAACTATGGAACCGACCTAGATGCCCCTCAATAGTGAATGGATAAAAAAAAACTGTGGTATAGAAATACAATGAAATATTACTTAATTTTAGAGAAAAATGAAATCATGGCATCTACAGGTAAATAGATGGAGCTGGAGAATATCACCCTAAGCAAAATAAGCCAATCCCCCAAAAAACAAAGATCAAATGTTTTCTCTGATAAGTGGATGCTGACCCACATTACAGTGGGGGTGGGTAGGGAAAAATAAAGAAACTTTAGATTGAGCAGAGGGGAGTAAGGAGAGGGGAGAGGGTGTGGGGGTGAGAAGGACAGTGGAATGAGACAGCATTATTACCCTATATACATACCCTATATACACTATCTACCAGTATGACTCTGCACCATGTACGGCCAAGGAATGAGAAGTTGTGCTCCATTTGTGTACAATGTGCCAAAATGCATTCTACTGTTATATATGCCTAATTAGAAGAAATTTAAAAATAAAAAAATAACAAAGATAAAAATAAAAGTTCCTTTACTCAAAGTCTGGGGGAATTATCTTGAGAACCTTCAAAGTGTCAAGTCCTTGGCATGGACTATGATCCCACTGTTCACATCTTGCCTGAATCCTGTACTTTGTAGAACTAGAAACTGATGGGGGAAAAAAATCTTAGAAAATAGTTGTAATAAATGGTAAGAAGAAAAGGACAGAACCTGGAATGCTTTGGGGATCACATGTCAGTGGAAGAGTCTGGTAACTAAACAAACAGAGAGTGTGAACTATCTCTGAGTTTAGGAAAGATTTTAGAGGTACGATACAAAGTGGCTTCGCAGGCTTAGGGAGAGCATAGTGGGTGGGAGAGGCACCAGCAAGCTTATTCCCCAAGTTCAAGCCAATAAAGAGTTCTACAAAAAGTAGTAACTGCAGAAATCACCAAAGCCATGGTTTCCCTTTTCCTTTCTTCAACCTTTCAAAAAGAATGCAGCTGTCTCCTCTAAAGCCCCAGCAAGGAGCAAACAGACTGATAAAATGATCAGGTGGGTGTCAGATTGTGGAAGAGTTGCTTACTAACTGCTAAGATTGTGAGACACTCTTTATCAAAGGATGGGACTGGTCAGGAACTTGCCTCTCCAGCTAGGGCCTGAATCACGTTCATCCTGAGTCAGGCCATCAGATATCCAGGCTCTCCTACAATGGAGGCCCTCAGGAGGAAAATACTTACATTGTCTTTTATTTCTAAAACCAACTATTTCTTTTTGTTACTCTTAGTTCTCAAAAAAACACAGCTCATTGCACATCTCACTAGGGAGGCGCTTCCATCATTGAATTAGATCTCTACTTGGGTGATGGTCTTCTAGCTAGATGTGAGAATCTGAAGAGCAGAAACTTATCTGACTAGTCTTGGCACATAGTTCAGTATTTAATGAATACATTTTAAATAAATGATAAAAGTGTACTGACTGCTTCTTCCTGAACTTGGCCACTGATCTGCTTCATAGGTCTCCAGGAACTCCCAAAGTCCTTGTTTCTTTCTTTTTAAATTAACTAATTTATTCATTTTATAGTAGAATGCATTTTGACAGATAGTACACAAATGCAGCACAACTTCTCAGTCCTCTGGCTGTACATGTTCAGAGTTACTCCAGGAGTGTAATCATGTACATAGGGTAATAATATCTGTCTCTTTCTACCGTCCTTCCCATCCCACAACCCCACCCCTCCTCTCACTCCCCTCTACACAAACCAAAGTTCCTTCATTCTTTCCTATCCCCCCCACCCCACAATGGATCAGCATCTGCTCATCAGAGAAAACATTCAGTCCTTGTTTATTTTTAAACATGGTCCTCCAACATTTTTCACCTTAATCATCTGAGCCGGTACATGGTGGCTCTCCTTCTCACACTTTCCTTTGATTATGTTAGGGTCAGTTTCTGATACTTCTATCATGAAGCTGACAGAGACATAATAGCAAGGATCTAACTGAATAAGCAAACTCAATTAAATTAAGCCACAAAAACAAAACAAAACAAAACAAATGGACTGGTCAGTATGGCCTGACACAATTCATAAAAGAAAGACATTTTATTTAGATCTAAATGTCCACCGGGACTTCTCGACCCCTTGATACCTGAGAAAAATTGGAGTGTCCCTGTTTTAGAGCCTGTCTGGTTTGCCACACACTGTGGCAATATAATAATGGCATGTGCTTCACAAGAGTGTTTTAAAAATCAAATGGGATAATATAAGTCAACTTTATAGCTCACAATGCCCTTGAACATTCGGCATGGTAAACATGTAACACCCAATTCACCGTCAGGATGGAAAATTTTGCTGAAGGACTGGGTTCTGGGAGAGGTGTGTACACATTTATATATATATATTTTCCTAACTACTCTCAAAGTCCCTTATATTCACTATGCCATTGGTTGTTTTGCCCCTTGCCAAGCACAGCCCAGACTCTCCTCTGAATTCTCCTTCTTCTCCAAACTTCTCCCTCCTATGTTCATTTAGTTTCCTCTGTCTTCAGAGCAAGTAATAGGACTCCTTTCCTGTGCTGGGGAACTGGGCCCTTTCAACTCTCACTTTATTGCATGGGCATTTTTCCTGCTCTCGAAATGATAAAATTTACTCTATCTAGTTTAGCCTACAACATCAGCTTCTAGGTAAGTCATTTGCCTATAGCCATTATGATTTTTTCCACATTCATTTATTAACAAATATTTTTAAATCACATTTTTAAAATAAACTGACTTAAAATTTTAAATAAATGTACATTAAAAGAGAATTTTATTTTACTCCTATACATCATAAAATAGAATTTTTCTCCATGATAAAAAAAAGTTTAATTTTGAAAAAAAAAAAAAAAAGGGCATGGGTGTACCACTGAATCTCACTGTGTGTTTCTAATGATATGTGCACCACAATCTGGTAAATGTGAGCCACCACATCCTTCTCCGTGGACACTCAGGGTTTGTTCTGAAGAGGGAATGAGTGGAGTGCCTGTGACATTTGCCTGTTAGTAATATTGTGGGTAGAGAGGAGGAGTGGTTGAAGATAACATATGCTGACAGGATCCAGTCAAAAAAACTGACAGAGAGGATGGTCCAGAGACAAGATTCTGGGGTGTGATATCATCATGTATCCCACGCTATTATTGCAGTATCCCAAGAGAAAGACTCATTTAATCAAATTGTAGTCTACCATTAGAATCTAGTGTTATAATAAATAAATGTTTAGAAGCTAGCAATGTAAGGGATTGTAATATCTGAATTATTCCCCTCAAAAGTACTTTTTAATCAACTAATCCAGTTTGATACAGTGTCTGGAACTTAAAATAATTTAATAACATATTACCATTGATACTGTTCATCATGGCCTTTGAATTAACCAAAGTAAAATTGAGATTCTCTGGATTCTACCATGCTTTCTCTGTGCAAATCATTTCATAAATTTTGAGAAAAAAAATAAACACATGCTACTTGCTTAAAAGTCTATTTTAAGGTTCTAAAACTCTGCACCAAGTTAGCATATTGGGTAAATGAAGAAATCCACAATGCTTTCTCTTGAAGAATTTAAAATGTTGAAATGCTAAATGTACAGTTTTTTTAAAAAAAAAAATATGTGGGTGTGCTAGAACACAACCCTATTTGAAATGTATAGTAGTACATCAATGATGAGCTGATCAACATCTCTTTATGAAATACACACCATGTGCCAGGGAACAATCGTGAGATACATCCCACCCTCAGGTAATTCCCTAGTAGGGTGGTAGTACATCTTTCCAACACAAGTCATATTACACTAGCGTTTTTATCAAGATATTTGACAGCTCCCTTTTGTCACAGCTTTCTACTACATTACACCAGAGGCACAGGGCTCCTGGTTTATACCTGAAACATACTTTCCCAAAAGTCTCAAGTGAAATATAATGGCTTCTGTGAATTTCACAAGAAATGTGTTTTTTAGGATGTCTTCCAGCTACTGATTTCTAGGGATAATCTTCAGCCTCAAGTCCTATAAAAGACATGCCATTTAAGCCTTACTGAAAACAATTTTCTTTGCACTATTTGGTTATGCCAAATAAAATGGAGCAAATATTTAAGAGATACTTCCTTAAGAATCACCCTATTATTTCATCTCCAAGGTTTGAAGGAAATCACAGGAAAAAATGAAACAAAACAAAATTCATTTAGTTTTATGTAACTATACCATGAAACCAACTGATGTCACATAACCATATCACCTAAACTCATGCTTTGCTTGAAAAAAGAAGAGGAAACACTAGAACCTATAGTGAATATCTAAAATTTAGATGCACAGATAGATATTCTTTCCCCCAATTAAATACATTGTTCTTCCTCTTACAGAAATGAATATCTATTTTCAGATGGCACCTCTATATGCAGACTTTTAGTACAGGCAGTTAAAAAAATTTACAGTCATGTTACACTTATCATTTATGCAGTAAAACACTAACAATCAATCAGCACCACACTTACGGTTATGTATAAAACATCAAAAAAATCTACTTCCATTAGCTTTTAACTCTAGTGAAATAGATTTTTTCAGAGACTTTCTTGAACAAAAGTCCACAATTTACAGCACAATATATATAGAAATGTAACATACCTCACATTAGCATCAAGTTTGTCCATTACAGGAAATAAGCATGAGTGAGCTGGATTTCAGTGCCCACAGGGTCCTGAAATGGGGAATAAAAAGTCATTAAACAAGAAAGCAACAGAGAAAAATGAAAGTCTTTGATAAAGGAAAAATGCAAAAAAAAAAATCATTGCTTCCTATTTATTAAGAATTTTGCTTCATAGATAAATTTAATAAATAGTACTATAACAAAGAACTGTTGGCATCTTGAGGTATAGTACAGCTGAGTGTTGCAAACAGTTTATTCATATTGTGCTGATCTCCTGCTGATTAAAACTTAAGGGCATTTATTTTTACCTTGGGTTATTGTATTTGTTATTTTTTGTTCTTTCTAGAACCATAGCTTATTTCCATGATCTGCATAAGGACACTGGCTAGTGAAAGTAGGTAACTACATTATCATGATTAAAATAGTACATTGCCTAAAATGTACTACAGTTAGTTTGTTTCCTGTGAGGATTTTTGGGTTTGTTTTTTAAAATAGCTCTTTTTCTGAGGGTAGGTCAT